GCCAGTTTTTCCAGTATAATACAGCTAGTTTTTAGAATGTGGTAATTAAAAAAAAGAAATAAAATTTTGGCGAAGCAACTCACAAGAACCAGTTCAGCGACCTGACAGTTTATATTGATTTTCATACCCTTTCTTCTTGTATGCTACTGATGTAACGGCAAAGCCCGCTGCTAAAAGTCGAAGATTCGACTCATCCGGCAACGCAAAAAACGCATATTGTCGAGGGGTTTTCTGCGCGTTTGTCTTGTGTGTGCGTTTGTCTGCATATTCTGATCTCGAGTCCTACGAAGGTTATAAAACTGAAGCTTTGGCAACTTAATCTATACCTAGACGCAAAATGAACTTTCATGTCCTCGCTCTCATGTACGGACACGTGAAGGATTTTCTGACGAGGAGGTGAATGCGGAAACCAAACAAACTAGAAGGATGAAAATTTGCGTTTTTTCTGGTCCACATGTGACTTAAAGAATTAAATTCAGATTTCACGTGCCGCAAGAAAGCTGCGCTGATGTGCTTATAAAACAAAACTGAGCTTTCGCGGCCTTCTCAGTTATCGGCACATGCAATTTGACACAGGCAATTTTGTAGCTTCGTTATTAAAGCAGCTGGAGGGCTGGAATTTTCTGAGTACGGCCGACGACTGTGCTTGAGCAGGTGGGCATGAAAACAACTTTCGTGTTCCTTTTATGGCTCACGCACTCACGTGGAAACACAGGAAATTTGATGTAACTCAGCAACCAAAGCAACTTGAGCACTAAATATTTTCTGAGCATGATTCAGGGCTGTTTTGGGCATACTCAAAAACAACGGTCATTCTTCTCTCACACACAAACACGTAAAATTTGACGTAACTCTGCCACAAAAACAGCTAGAGGGCTAAAATTTTTTGGGTATGGACCACATTGTGTTCATATGATACCTATATGATGATTTTGATATTCTCAGTTTATTTAGCTAGAAATACCCGTCGGTAAAAACAGCGCCACTTAGCAGCAAATATCCGCTGGGAAACCGTGCAAAGAGCGCATGTTCGCACCGGCAAGGTTTGTGTGTGACAACGAAGGCTGTATTCAAAAATACACAAAAATGCATCCTTTCTAACCACAAGTCTCAATCGTGTCTCTTCTAGCAACTCAGGTGAGACAGACTTGAATTTTGTTTAGCTGTTGAAAAGGGTTTGTATTTCAGTTAGACTTGGGCGGCGGCTACTATGTATGCGTGTTTGGAGCGGCACCGATGGAAGCTGGAGGGTTTGGACCAACATGGATTCTTGGTGATGTCTTCATCCGTTCTTACTGCAATGTGTACGACGTCGGAAGTATTAGAATTGGCTTTGCTGATTTATTAGAATGAAATTAACTCACACGCGGGCAAAAGTTATTGAATAAAATGCTGCTCTTGTATTTCTGTTGACGTTCTGAATGCGTGAGGAGGAAA